TATTCAGGAAGGCGAAGACCCATCGTTTGAACCTGCCAAAACACAACTTAACGTTGATAACAGCCGAATTGCAGCATACAATATGAAAATGAATCAACATGTCTTGGATCAAATTGAGGAATTGGAAGCAAAGGTATCATCTCTAATACAGATCATGCCATTCACATTTCTTATTTCGAAGAGAAATGACAAGAAATACGATGCTGTGTTTGAGATAGTCGAGTTGTATCTTTTCATGGTATTAAGCGGAATGGTGAACCTTATCAACAGTATCGAGACATCGCGCCATTGAGAGCATTCAGTAAGTACGACCATGGTAATATTGAACTAAAACAGCGATGTTATAGGATATGTGAACCATATCGATACATCGGAACCATACCCTCTTCTTGGATCTCAAAAACGTTTCTTTGGTAATGTATAGACCAGAATTTCAATAACCATGGGTTGCGGGCAAGCAAGAGCTACAAACGAATTGTACAAATGTCAAATCGTTGAGTCAACACTTCTGCAGGCCGATCAAATTATGGTCTGGGAGAAAGCATTTTCATACCTACGAAAAATGGTGAAGGAGAGACATCTATCACTGAAATATCAAGTGAATCAGAAAAATAGAGATTTTCAAGGGATACAAGAATCACCTTGTATGAAAAGGAATTTCTTTTTGACGTTGAATAGCAAAGGTCTTCACAGCTTCATTATTTTTCTTACTTGTGAAAGCCCATACTTTTTCTCCTTCTATCTGAGTTGATGCATCAACCTTCCTTATGGACTTATCAAGGTCAGTGGCCCATACAGCTGCTTGAGGCTTCTGTGGGCGGTCATGAACGGTAAATTTTTTCATGGTAGCCTTCTCGACTACGTTGAGATCAGTGTTGTCTCCATAGCTACCAGCTGAGCTAGAAAAAATTTGGTGACTGAAAAAGAACATGTTTTTGTAGTCGCGTGAAAATTACCTTAAACTCTTTATCATCAATCATTCGATTGCTGTACATATCCACACTAAGCATTTTAGCTGCTTGATGATTGAAAGATTATCATTACCGAGTTCCAGCTCACTGCTTTAGCTTATCATAATCAGCTTTTAGAGACTTTAACGGACCCTCAACCCGATCATAGAAACTGTACGGAAGATGAGTAATCGCGAGAATTTCCATGAAATGTTTTTTGTCGTCAATACTGAGCTTGTCATACTCTGCCTGATCGATATGTTGCTTAAAAGCAAGTGTTCGGATCTTGACTGTAGCGGATAACTGATTACGCGCTTTGGGACGACGATTGGGTTGGACAATCACAAAGGTTTTGGCATCGAGATCAGGAATTCTGATAAACTTACTACCCAGTTGACGATTGATGTATGCTGGGGGGTGGCTAAATCTTAGATCTAATTGAGGTTGCATGTTCCCCCGCGACGGCCAACTCCTTCAAGCGGGGCGACCCCAGCACCTCTCAACCCACGACCCTGAAACTTCCTCTTAACTGCTGACCCAACGCCTGTCGTCATACCTGATCAACCATGTTATTCACAGTTTGGCGAACCGTGCGCTCGTCTTGTCTATCACTGAATTGATCAAACTCGGTATAGTTCTTAGCATCGGATTAAGCCTTGATTTGGTAAACAGTCTTGGTTGATTTCATGGCAGTGGTTGCCGCCTTCAGCGCTGATCTTAAAGATTTTGAGTCACTGCTCCTTATTGCTCGCTTCTCCTTCTCGTACTTTCTCTGAGCTTTGCCGTACTCTAATCTGACTCATCGTGGAGTTTTTGCAAAGTGTCATCGCGATATTGGGGACCCTCAGAGGATTTTATTCGAGCTGATGTATCTGTCGATTTTGTTTTGTCGAGGATAACTCGATTCAATAGCTGAAGATTAGATTCGAGATTTGTCTTTAATGCTGGATCATCATTCTCATAAACGAAATTGCTCTAAAACTCCAAACCCGGTCATCAGGCAATTGAAAGTGTTCATCAATCTAATGGTTTTCATAAGATCGTTGAATTCCTTGCCAGACACCACTTTGTTCTCGTGGTTTTGCTGTGATAGGTTCACTAAGGTAACAACTTTGATTAGCTTTCACCCAACTTTAGGTATCTACTGTTGGTTTCAGTCTAAAGGGATTTCGAACTCCTTCAGATGCTATTTTGCTAGAGTAGTCCATGAGATTTTTCTTCGCATCGTTTTCAGCATTAGTTACAACACTATTCATGATTCCAATGAGCCTCACCATCGCGTCGCTCAAAGACCTTTGCAAGTTTGGTGGTGTATTCATTGGTAAATAGATCGATATCGTCACGATCTTTCACTCAAGCGATAAATTTCTGGAATGTTGTTCTCCAATCGACTTTTTAAGTAATCGCTGGCTTGACTCTCCCACTATCAGTACCAAATACACTTATGGATGAATCATCAATCCACACGTATCCAAACCTATCCATGATGTTTTACCCATGCTCTTAAGGATGTGAATGATTTTCTTTTTCAAATCAGCCGACTCGAGCACTGCATTATTCTTGCGAATAGACCAAGCGATCGATTCTTACTATCAACTTGATCTACGGAGGTAGAAGTCGATGTGGCAAACTCAAAACTATCTTCAAGACATTGCCTGGGACAGAATGCATCATCACATTCATCTGGATCGGTGATTTTTCGTTTCTGCGTTGGCGAAATGTGATAAAGAGGGTCTTTAAATCTCATGTAAGTGCTCTTATCGATTCGTTTACTTTCGCCATCATGCCAGCTGTCTTTAATCTTCTCCTCTATAGCCACCCATTCAATCGATTGATAAGTCTTACTTTTTCTACCCGTTTTGGCTGCCCTTTTACCAAGAAAGTATCTATTTTCATTACCAGCATTACGCTTAATTAGCTAAATTTGAAGCGCTACCCAATTTAGGATTGGCGTTAAACATTTTTTAACCCTTGGTCGCGCCTCCACTTGATCTTCGGTATCCAGGTTTTTCGTGGCATCTTACATTCGTGGAGTATTGTCGATTCCAACATCAGCTGTTTGCTGTGTGTTATCGATACCAGAATCAGATGTTTGAGGACTCGCTTGAATAATTCTATCAGTTTCGTTAACACGATCGGTATTGTTTGAGCTATATACCATCTTCACGCCGCTATCTACTATATAACATCGATAATCACAGGTCGAACATTTGGAGTTGATACCTCAGGGTTTGTCTAGG